ATTACACAGGTTTGCCTCTGTAAAAATTGTGTTGTGCTATTGATATCTTTCAATGTAAGTGATCTTATTTTCCGAAGAATTCTTAGAAATAGAATCCTTGCTTACTAGAGGAACAAATATGAGGGCACCATGTTTTTTAACCATTTTATTAAGCTTTATGACTAATGGATCAAAGGTTTTTCATTAACCATATTTATCAATTTGACTATGTAAAGGATCATTAGGAACAGTTAAGGGAGAATAAAAACAATATGATGAAGATAAGCTATACATTTTTAATGAAGTTTAATGACACAAGGATTGTTTTTACATGAGTTGCTGACTGAAAGACCCATCGCTGCCTTTCACTATGGTGTATCAAAATGGTCCATGAGTGGAGGAGATTTGAATGTAAAGGTCTGGCATAGATGAAGTCATTTCAGTAAGTATACAGAATGGGTACAACAAAGTTTTTGTTGGCATAGAGTTAGACTGTGGATGCGGATACAATCAATGCTAGTTAAGTAGATAGTAGTTAGTAGTAAGTAGTAGTAGGTGGGTAGTAGCTAGTAGCTAAGGTCAGTAGTTAGTTAGCAAAGGGTACTCTGACAAGTAGCAAAGGAGCTCTGGAAAAGAGCCTTGGAAGGAAAGGAAATCAGATTTTCACTCACATGGCTCTTAGACAACACATCAACTCCAGGGAGTAAGAATTTCTTTAGACAACATGCCATTATTTATTAGTTTTGTTTCCATTTTGATTGGCATTGTTTGTTGGGGCCATTATAAGTGAATTCTTTGTCAGAGAGTTCCACTGTGATTCTAAACATTTTTAGCCTATGATATTGACTCTTAATTGAAATCTTGAAAAATTCTCCCCCTCTTTAATCTTCTCCTATCTTATACTTCCTCCCTTCTGAGGACCTGATGTACTATCTGCTTAACCAAAGAGACTGGACCATGTAGTGCTAGTGCCATTGAGTTTTCTCCTTTATTCCTCAAAGCCAGTGCCTCTACCCTTTCTTTTTTCATTCCTGCCTGTCTTTAGGGAAAATGTGTCTATCTACCCTGCTGAAACATTCATTCCTCTTCCTATGTTTTTAGTCCAACTCCTTTCTATGGCTGTTTCTCAAAATTTTCTCCATTAATACCCCTCTCCAAAAAGAGGTCAGTTGCTCCCTTTCTTCCTAAAATAAATTTTAAAAAGTTGTTTCTGCACCACTTGCCTAATTCTTCCTTGAGCTTCCCCCCCCATGAGTCTTTATTTCTGAACCAGTTTTTACCTGAAATGATCCCCTTCTGTTCTCTGCCATCAACAATTCATCATCAAAGAAAACTAGAAGCCCACTATAGAAAGCAAAAGAGTAAGCAGCAGATAGCTTAGAATCTCCATCCTTCAAGTGGAAAAACTTGCATAACTTCCATAATTACTGTTCTATACATTTGGCATGTTTGAGTTCTGGTACTTTAAAACATTTGACAATGACAAGTAAATGAAATTGCAGAGAGGTTAAGTGACTTGTCCAAGATTCGTGGCAAATTGTAGAGCTAATGTTTTGGTCTTCTGAATTCCTATTTCTGATTTGTTTTATATTATTAAGCATTACAAGGGGGACATTTTTGGGCTAAGAAATAAAACTCTTCATTAAATGTTCATAAAGGTTTTTTTCCCATGTCAATATGATTTTAGATTCTGAATCAGTTTTTGTATAAATGATTTATTTCTCTCAATCCAGAATGATGTATAGAGCATGGCTATTGGTGGTCTTCATTCAAGCTAGGCTCTTATATGTAGTATGAAGAAACTCGCCTCTACACTGACATGGAAGATGATTTTCAGTTCTTGCCAATGTTGTAACTAAAATCAATGTTGAATAATGTCAGAGAGTTTGAGACTGGGTCAGAGGACAGCTTTGATTGGGGCAAATTTCTTGAGATACTTTCAGTCTTAATCTGAGAAAGTATCTTCTTTTCCTAACTAGTCAAATTTGGGGGAGAAGATGGGAACGGGTTTCCAGAATTTACCTGTAGATATTTTTGAGATAATTTTCACTATTCCTAAGCCTAACATCTGGTACAAAAGAGCACTTTCTTTCCTCTAACTTAATTATCCTAACCCTTTTCCTTTTGTACTCTCTACCATTTTATTTGATTGGAAGGGAGCCCATAAATGTCCCCAGAATTCTTTTGGTTCTGGAACATTCTGGCAATAGCTATTTCACAGAAAGCAAAATATCCAGGAATAAGAAATATGGCTGTATATTTTAGGTCGATTATTTCCTATGTTTGGAGGATATATCAAGCAATTAAATGTTTTGGATTATGAAAAATAATTTTGAGTCAATACAGTGTGATTGTAAAATCTGTACCCCATTTTGACATGGCTGAACAGTAAAAAAATTACCTGAAGTTTCATGAGAAATTATACTTAAGTTTATACTTAAATGAAATAATGTGAAATGCTGATGCAAAATACAACAGTTTAGTGTACTTTTATGTATCACAATACATAAATTTAAATTATTACTAATTACTATTTAGTTAATAATAAAGTAATAAGACACAGGGATCATAACAATGTGGTTTTGGAGGTAAAAAATCCACTTTGATTTCTTCTTTTTTTAAAAAAAAAATCTCTCAATAGTCTAAGAGTACAGTTGCTTTTCTCTAACTTTGTTTTGTACATCGTGCTTAATAAACAAGCATCTTCCATCTGCTGAGTTTTCAGTAATCTTGCACTTTGATTATTTACTCACTTTGTAGTCACAAGATGAGAAATGTAGACACTGTGTACAAACAAGAAGTTCGTGCAAAGTCAAGCTCTCAAAACCACATGCAAGACTCAGTGGCACATGGTTTAGAGCTCACACACTCCAGGATCATGTAATACAGGCATGCAGATGAGAGGAAAGAAAAGCACCTACATCATGAAAATAGAGGATGATGAAAGAGAATGACATTTTCTTTATGACAATTATCTAATGCAAACCGTATACCCATAACCTTTACCAGAGTGGAGGAAGGAGCAGATAAGTGCCTTTTTGTGGGGAGGGGGAAACTGTATATAAATATTACTAGAGGTCAAGTTGTTGTTAAAGTTAAGGACTTCTAATCTGAACTTGGCCTCTTCAGGTTATCTTCCCCAGTTCCTTGCTTTGTATTTCCTCTGTTATATCATGCAATAAAGATCAGAACTAACATTGGAAATCATTTAACAAGCTCTAAACCTGACAGATAACAAGGGTATTCTCCACAATTTACACGAGAATTAAATTGGATATAAATACCTCCTGTTCTTACCGGTGGGTGTTGTGATTCCATGTATTAAGGTGTGAAGCAGACAGGAAAGAGATAAATCTTTCATAAGTACATTGTAAATAGGCAAGTGGTATATAAACCATATTCATAGGTAATAGAGTCAAACAAAGGTAAATAGTTGTCAAAAAATAGGCTTTATCACAAAAATGTCACAAAACTAGTTATATGGAGAGGGGATGTACAATAAATGTTTATTACTGTTATGGAAATAATCTGGCGGTATGGAACAACAAAATTGAGGGACACGTGTTTTGATTAAAAATTCTTGACACTGCTTCAGCCAACCCAGCATTAGAGAATCCCCGATAGTTTCTGAATGCTGATATCTTTGTTCAACAATAATACAGATGGAAATACATTAAGTGATCAATTTGTACGTGCTTTCTTATGAGATTAAGGTGTTGTCTTAGTGATATCAATTTATCAAATTAATTTTCTCAAGTAACTTTGGGATAATTAGAAATAACTCATGGAATTCAGTTATGCTTTTATATAAAATGTGCTAATTGATTAGCTATTCAAATTAAAATATTTATAATGGCATGTCCTTACTTCTCAGTCAATAGATCACATGCGGCTTTGATAAACTTATCCTATATGGCTTTCAAAGTGGGCAATGCTTGTAATGTCTTCTGTCCTTTGACTTCTAATTTTGAATCTTTGCTTTTTTATTAGGATATTACTGTTCAAATAAAAAAATGTCGATCTAAATTGGATAGGCTCACTTGTGCAAAAAGTATATTATGCTGTTCATGTCATTAAATGTGAGTAGTTTTATTTTCTGAAGAATTTTTATAAACTGAGTCTTTGTCCAGTGGAGTAGTTGCTAGATGGGAAGTCATCATATTTTTAATCTTTCTTAATAGGTCTGTGATATGTCATTGAATTTGGATGTGTCACATAATTATCTTTAGGAATCAGTCTCTATAGCTAAACAGATCAAAAGAATGTGTGTAATTCACCTAACAATAAAAAGAGCTCTTTAGACCATGGGCATGTTATTAACTGTATTGATTTTTAAGCATTGATAGAGGTGGGAAGAATTATGAAAAGTTATCATTGATGTTGAATTTGCTTAAAAGTTATGAAGAAATCCATATTTCCCCCTTGAAAGGAAAGATGCATTAAACCAGGTACAGTGAAAGGGGACATAGTTTATTGTAAATATAGAAAAATTTTTCCTTAGAAGACACATGAAACTTCCTATCATTAAATGTTTATGGCATGCTTAAGTTCCCTAACCTCTCCCACAAATCCTCAAAGTGTCCTGTTTTTGTTTTCTTGTTTTTTAAAGGAATGTTAACTTTGGATTTCTGTTTGGGGGTATCATGGTTGTTGTTGCTGTTTACTTGTCAAATCTTAACACACATGGGTCCAACTGTCTTTTGGGGTGCTGGCAGCTAGGACATGTGGTGAAAGCCCAAATCCTATGTTAGCAATGTTCACTCTAACTGGAAATGGGAACTCTACCACACACAGTTATATCAGTTTGCATCATGTTATAATGCCTTTGCCACACAATATAACTAGATATAGCACCATGCAATGCCATGAATTGAGAATGAGAGACTATCTCCAGGGGAGAAAATAAACATCCGAGAGGAAAACAAAAGCAAGGGGTTCAAAGCTGGTGAGACTAGCTTTCCCATTTGGACTGTAGCTATAATGCCTGAGGTACTTCCATTTTGGAAAACAGAAATACATACCATGTTCATGTCAATGCCATTGGTGTATGTCCATGCGTGCTGGAAATATTCTTCAAGCCGTTGCCTCAGGGGGTTGGGGATTTGGTGAAAGCGAATGAATTCTTTTACTCGAAGCATCTGCATGTGGTACCTGGCAGTTCCCGAGTATAGCCTTTGGATAATTGCAGATACATTCCCAAAAATGCTTGCATACATTAGTGCTGGATTGGATAAAAAACAAAGTTATGGGGGAAGACTGCACTTGGGCATTACTATATCTTGTCAGAATCTCAACTATGTAGACTTTTTATTATCTCAATCCAGTTGTAAGGCCCATGGAGAGAAAAATAAATTAAGCCAATCCTGTTGTAAACTTTATAATTTTGATGACAAATCTGGAGGGGGAAAGGTGTGATCCAAATTCACCATGGATTCTAAATTAAAATATAAACTCATTGTTTACAGTATCAGCCTATAATCTGGAGTATTGACCAGAGATAAAAATGTCTTTAGAATAAACCCTTTGCTTTGTAATGTAATAAGGATATATGTCACAGGGTTATCACAGGTATATTTTCTGGAATGGGAGTTAAAAAGTTAATTTTTAAATTGGGACATCTATGCCTCTTGGTCTCAAACCTAACCTTTTAATATTAAAAATCCATTATAAATCTTAAGATTATTTTGAATACTTTGGTTTTGCTAAGGAATGATGAATTGTTTTAAGGAACTCATAATTTCCTTAGAGTATTTAGTTGTATACAATTTTTTTAATCTATTAAAATTCATTTTTACAGTATTTCTACACAAGAAACAGATATCCCTGGCTTAGAATATAAAGATATAGTTTTATTTTTGTAGGAAAAAACCAGAATATCTTTTTCTTTCATCTGTGAGAAGAAAGAAACTGCCAAGACAATCCTAGCTATACATTTCAGTATTTAGGTTGAGTACCCTTGTAAGTGATTTCTGGGCTAAATCTGTATGATTTAACATAAGTTTTTTGAGTATCTTCTCTTTCCTTTTATGTTTGTATTTGGTTTCTAGTAATTCTAAAAAAAAGTGCTATATTCTGAACATAAAGTCAAATCATGATGCACGATCTTTATTTTGATCTTTGAGCATGTGCCAGCATCTTAAGAGAGAAGGTAGCGTATGTTTAAGACACTGGAACAGCACTATGCCACGCAGGTGGTAAAAAATGAACAGCTTACAGTGTTTGATTCAACTGTGTTCAACTAACACATTCCTCCCACCCCCACCCCAACACACTTTACAAACCATTACTTCTATAAACCACTTAATCATTTTTGAAGTAGATTTTAGCCAGATTCAGGCTAAGTATTTTAAAACAACTTATCTTATTGGTCATTTGCTTTCTTTTCCACCTTATCTTTGTCTCTGGGCTAGCATGGTTCCTTGTTTACCATAGATATCCCAAGTAAGAGAATGTCACAAAGAAAGGAGTGGCCTTTTGTTTTTATGTATTTAAAGGGGTGGAAGTTGGAGACATCTGTAGTGCCTGAATTGGGATGTGTGAAAGAATAATTCTCAGCAAGGTAGACAAGCTATCTAGGTTGGTTCTTCCACAGGAAAAACACTTGAGCCTAATTTGAATAAATGAACAGTTGATTAAGAAGACAGTTAGCAATAGTTGCCTAAAACCAATTCTTGTGACTCCAAAAGATTCATGTGAAAAATGTATTTTACTCTTCACTATTCTATAATGTTGGAAATATTTATACAGTTTGCTATGTCTCCAAAGTATCTATCTTTTTTTTTTTCAGGTAATAGTTTAGTTAGTACAAAGTAAGTTCACTTGATTTAATCAGAGGGCATATAATCAATGCTAGTTATTTTACCTAAACCACATAATTACTTGGAGGAGAGTCAGGGAAAACCTTATTTTGTTTGTAATGAATACTATGGTTTCATTTTCATGGTGTGGTTTTATCTCCACACTGCCATAAAAATGAACCAAAACATTAGTTTGGGTCATAAAAATATATTTCCACTTGTTGAGAAGATGGCAAAATCTAGATTATAAGCATATTGTTGAATACATGAATAATATGTATTTCTCTTAGTAAATTCTATGTGATGGTTTTATAAATTATAATGAAAGCATGAATTATTTTTTTCTATTTTTTTTAGGAGCAACAGGAGCTAAAGACTGTAAGCAAGAGAGAAGCACAACATAATCATATTCTTTATACATCATTTACTAAATGCCTATCAAATGGCATAAAATATGAGTCAAAAGCAAGATGGCAGACTGTACATAAGGACATTTCTCTCTTTAACTCAATATTTTACTTAGCTTTCCTCAACAGGGAGTTCTAATTTTATCAATGGTTTGTTTTAGATTTAGATATTATAGAAATAAAGCAGGTATATCTTAAAACTTCCTTCAGCACACCACACCCCAAATCTGATATGCTAACCAAACTAATGACTTTAGTTGGCCATTAGACATAAGCTGGAATGTGCTGATAGAACAAATACACTTGTTTTCTAGTTATTACACAGTTTTACAAAGTTTTAACGTAAGAAATTAGATGTTATAAGGGTATAATTTACGTATAATAAAATAAATCCATTTTAATTGTATGCATCAATTAATTCTGACAAATGTATATGCTTGCTATAAACACAATCAAAGTACAGAACATTTCCATCACCCTAAAAGATTCCCTTGTGTTCACTGGCTGCCTACACTTACTTCAGAACCTAGACAACAACCGAGCTCCAATGCATGTCATTACAGTAGTTTGCATTTCCTAGGTCTTCATATACATGGAATCATAATGTATATATTCATTTGCATCTGATTCTTTGTTGTACATGTCTTTGAAATTAATTCTGTTGTATGTATTAGTAATTTGTTCTTTTTTTATCACTCTACTTTGCATCACATGGCTCTACTAGTTTATCTCTTCTGTTGACAGAAATCTCACTGTTTCTAGTTTTTGGCTATTATGAATAAAACCGCCATGAGCATTTGTGACGAGTCTTCATGTGGGCACATATTTCCATTTCCTTTTAAACACTTAGGAGTGGAAGTGTGTGGTACATATAACTTTATAAGAAGCTGCTAGACTGTTCCTCAAACTTGTGTCAATTTATACTCCCTCCAGCAATAAATGACAATATCAATTGTTCCCAACTGCTGTTGCCAGTCTTTAATTTTTCATGCCACTTGTAGCGGGCATGTAATATCTCATTAGAGTTTTAATTTACATCTCTTGATGACTAATGATATCTTTTCCTGCACTTATTGGCCACTCATATAGCTCCTTTTTGAAATGTCTGTTTAAATCTTTTGGTCATTTTTATTTTTTATTTTTTTTAAATTTTTATTTATTTATGATAGTCACACAGAGAGAAAGAGAGAGAGAGAGGCAGAGACACAGGCAGAGGGAGAAGCAGGCTCCATGCACCGGGAGCCCGACGTGGGATTCGATCCCGGGTCTTCAGGATTGCACCCTTGGCCAAAGGCAGGCGCTAAACCGCTGCGCCACCCAGGGATCCCCTTTTGGTCATTTTTAAATTGAGTTGTCTTTCATTGTAGAATTGCAAGAAAATCTTGATAAATTCTGGATACAAGTTTTTTTTTTTAAGGTCTAAGTATTGAGAATATTTTCTTCTAGTCTATCATTTGCCTTTTTCTTTTCTTAAGTGTCTTTTGAAAAACTAAAGTTACTAATTTTGATGAAATCCAACTTATTACTTTTTATTTTATGGCTCCAGATTATTTTGTTTCAGTTTTGGTAATTTGTATCATTCAAAGAACTTTCATATCACATTTAAATTGCCATACTTCTTATGATAAAGTAATTCATAATGTTATTTTATTATTAATATCTTTGTAACCGGGAGTAATAGCTCTCCTTTCAATAAGATATTGGTAACATGTCTTCTGTCTCATCAGTCTAATTGGAAGTTTATCAATTTTATTGGTCTTTTTTTTATTGGTCTTTTAAAAAGCCATAATATACTCCCATTAATTTTCTCTAATGTTTCTTTGATTTCTATTTTATTAACTTTTGCTCTTATCTCTGCTATTTCTTCTACTTATATGTTTAGTTTAGTTGTCTTAAAATAGAAATTTAAATCTTTGATTTTAGACTTTTCTTTTTTAAATAAAAATACTGGGCAGCCCTAGTGTCTCAGCGGTTTAGCGCCACCTTTGGCCCAGGGCGTGATCCTGGAGACCCCTGATCCAGTCCCACATCAGGCTCCCTGCATGGAACCTGCTTCTCCCTCTGCCTGTGTCTCTGCCTCTCTCTTTCTCTCTCTCTCATTCTCTCTCTGTCTCTCATGAATAAATAAATAAAATCTTTGAAAAATCCTAAATAAAAATACTTATCCCTAAAATGGAACGCCTGGGTGGCTCATTGGTTGAGCATCTGCCTTCGGCTCAGGGCATGATCCCGGGGTCCTGGGATCGGGCTCCCTGCAGGGAGCCTGCTTCTGTCTCTGCCTCTCTCGTGTCTCTCATGAATAAATAAGAAATGTGTGGGAAATATCAGAAAGGGAGACAGAACATAAAGACTTCTAACTCTGGGAAATGAACTAGGGGTGGTGGAAGGGGAAGAGGGCAGGGGGTGGGGGTGAATGGGTGACGGGCACGGAGGGGGACACTTGACGGGATGAGCACTGGGTGTTATTCTGTATGTTGGTAAATTGAACACCAATAAAAATTAATTTATTAAAAAAATCTTTAAAAAAATACTTAAAACTACACATTTCTCTCTTTAGCTGTCTCTTGCACATTTTGGCACATTTTTCTTTCATTTTCGTTCAGTTAAACTATTTTCTAATTTTCCAAGTGATTTTCTTCTTTGAACCATAGGTTATTTGGAAGTGTGCCACCTACTTTCATTCCAAATACATATCACTCTTTTCTTTCGTTTCTCTTCTTCTCTTCTTTATTTTCTTTCCTTTCTTTTCCTTTTTGACTTTCCTTTCCTTTTTTTTTTTTTTTTCCTCTCTCTCTCCTTTTCTCTCCCTCTCAGGATAATTTCCAGTTTCTCTTGTGGTTAGAGACATACTCTGTATGATTCAGTACTTTTAAATTTGCTAAAATTTCTTTTTGGTTCAGCATACGACCTGTCTTGAGGATTTGATTTGTAGTCCAGCAGATGGTCTATCGTGCTGAATGTCCCACATACCCTAGAAAAGAATGTGTATTCTGCTGGTATTCTAGAATTGCCAATGTCATGTTAATTGATAGTATTTTTCAAATCTTTTATACATTTTCTGATTTTCTGTCTACTTATTCTACAAAACACAGAGGGAAGAGTGTTAATTGCTAATTGTAACTGTAGATTTGTCTTGTGAATTTGTCTATTTCTCCATTAGGTTCTATCAGTTTTTGTTTAATGTAATTGCTTTGTAATTGGGTATCTACACGCTTAGGACTGTGGTGTCTACTTTGTCTCTGGTAATAGTCTTTGTTTTTAAGCCTTCTTTGAAATCAATACTGCTCCTCACATTTTCTCATAATTAGTGATTGTATATACATCTTTTTCCATCTTTTTCTTTTACCTATGTCTTTATATTTTAAGTGTGTTTCTTTAGATAGCATATGATTGAGCCTTTTAAAAAAATAGTCTGACAATTCTGGAAGTTTAATGAGAGTTTAGCTCACTTACATTTAATGGAATTGTTACTGTGGCTTGTGTTAAATCTACCATCTTGCTGTTTGTTTTCTATGTGTTCCATTTCTCTTATTTTCTATTTTTTGGTTTTATCATTTTTATTATTCTATTTCATCTTCTCTATTGGCTTGTTAACTGTGCTGTAGGAGTTACAGTATGCATTTTTAATTTATCACTCTGTACCTTAAATAATAATAATAATAAGAAAATACCTCTTCATGTTTAATGTAGGAATCTTATATAAGATTTTATAATTCTTACTTAAATATACTTTCATTCTCCCTTCCTGTTTTGTACTATTATTGTCACATTTTAAATTCTACATATGTTATAATATTTAAAATATATTCTCCTAATTTTTGCTTTAAAAATTATTTTTGAAGACATTTAAAAATTAGAAAATATCTTTTAAATTTACCTACATATTAACCTTTTCTAGTGTTCTTCTTTTTTCTTTTTTTTTTCTAGTGTTCTTCATTTGTTTTTCTAGATCCAAATTTTCATCTTAATAATATTTTCTATTTACCTGGAGAGCTTTCTAATTTCTTGTACTTTGCTCATGATGAATTATGTCAGGTTTTGTTTGTCACTTTCAAAGGAGAGATTAATTGAACCAATATTTCTGTGTTGGCAGATTTTGTTTTTTCTTTAGCACTTTAATGATTTTATTACATTGTCTTAATGGTTTGCATTGATTCTAATAAGAAGTATGTTTTCTACCTGATGCTTTCCCTCTGTACATGATGTATCCTATTTTTTTCCCTTCCAGTTACTTTTAAGACTTTTTCTCCTTATCACTAGTTTTCAGTAATTTAAGTATGGTGTGCTTGTGTGTGTGTGTGTGTGTTTGTGTGTGTGTTTTTAGCATGTTTGGGATTCACTAAGCTTCTTGGATCTGTGGTTTACAGCTTTTTTATCAATTTTGGAAAGATTTCAGCCATTAAAATTTCTTTTTCTAAGTTCCTTCCCCATTTTCTGGGAGTCCATATACACATTTGTTAAAGTGCTAGATATTATCTGTTAGTTTCATAATTTCTGTCAATTCTGGTTCTGGGCTTTTATTTGTTTTATTAAGATATAATTGACATACAAAATTATATTAACTTTGGAAGTACAACATGGTGATTTGATATTTGTATACAGTCAGAAATGTAGTAATCATAATAAGTATAGTTAATTTCCATTACCACAGAGGCACAGGATATTTTTTTCTTGAGATGAGAACTTTTAAGATTTACTCTTTTAGCAACTTTCAAATATACAATACAGTATTATTAACTGTAGTTACCATACATTACATTACATCACTATTTATTTATTAAATAATAATTTATTAAAAAAATAAAACGCATCTACAGACATTTGAGTTGTTTCCATTTAGTTAGATGGTATCTTTTAATGTTTGATTTTTAGTTTTCTTGAGTTATATTGTAAGAGAGATGATAGATTGATCTTTTTTTCTATTTGGCTTCAAAGTTTTATTTTAGAATGAAGATTGGTTTTAAAGAAGTTTAGGGATGATGAGAGAGTTCAACATGATAACTAGATGATATAAACTATACCTAGTATTAGTATATAGACACTATTTTACATTATATTTTTAGATATTGTATTTTATTTTTGGCTTAAAACAGATCACTCAGATCTAAGGAGTATGTACTTAGTGTATAAATATAACTAAACAAAAATAACCAAATCATTTTCTAACACAGTTGGATCTCAATGGAAATACCACGTTAGATGCATCCATATACATCAAATGGCTTTGTGCATTTTGGGGCATTTTTATTATTAAGTTTTGAGTTGTAATTTGACTTTTCTTCTTTATTTTAGCATAATAGGTCATGATAGAACTCTCTAGGAATACGTTTAATTTTTTTCTTATGTGACATGGAGCTCTACATAATTCCCTTTTGAAAGTTATAGAACCAAGTCTATTATTCAAATAAAGTATATTATGTGGAATGTGGTTGTATCTTACTCTACTCAATTAACTAGAGTGTCTTCTCTTTTTCTAAAAGATGAAAAATATCTGTAGAAAACAAGTATTTTCCTTAAAGAAACAAAAGAAATAGCCTTGTGCTATATTTAAGAAAGAAGGGAAGGAGGAGAAATGGAAGGAAGAAAGAAGGAAGGAGAAAACACTGCCAATTATCATGATTTAGGGATTAGAGACTGGATATAGACCAAATAAAGAACTGAGTTTTCTTTGATTTAAAATAATTCACATGATGAACAGTATTGTTTTTAATGTAATCCTCACAATTGATGAGGATTTCTAAGTGGTGAGCAGGTTAGAAAACTCTTGCAAATTCTGTTTCAATATGCAGGTTCTGTTTTATTCATTAAAAGCATATATGCATATTTTTTCTATACATATGTTTAAATAATTAGGAACAAACTTTTAAAAATTTCTTTTGTTACTTCACTAAAATTGATAATCACTGCAAGGTATTTACTAGCAGCTGTAGTCATAGAGTGGTTGGCACTGTTTGAGATAGTCGGTCTTCCTAGAATGAGTTTTTCTGTTTCCTAGTAGGTCCCTCTTCCATTTCCTTCTGGGTGCAAGGCTACTTCTGTGTTTATAGCCCAGACTTAGCCTGAATCTAGAATATCTTAAGGGTTATTTGAATATAATGCTATTTACCTATATAAATCTTACCTAAATAAAAATACTAAGATATATATAAGAAAAGTAAATTTTAAATACAATGAACAATAAACAGGGTGAATTGATTTAAATTTCACAAATAAAACTTATCTAAGTACACTTCATTAATCAATATGTTAACATTTAAAATCAACTCTGGATCTATTTTCAGATTTGTACACCATCTAGGGATAATGCCCTTTTCTAAGCTTTAAAATTTCATTATGCTTTTGTGAATTGCTGCTCAGTATCACAGAAGTTATCTTTAGTGACTCTATAGTATGATTTTTAAAAACATTAAAACATCTTTAGGTTAATGCAGAATTTTTTGTTTCTTATTCCAAAAAATATACCTCTTAATGATGCTCATGTCATCACCACATTACAAGGTAAAGAGCAATCACTTAAGCTTTGGCATAATGTCATAGGGAAAGGAATTTTTAAGCAATAAGTAAGTGGTGAAAAATACATATATATATTTATCTGTGTATATATCTGTCTGTAAATACAGATATATATAAGAAATATATGTATTTATTACTTCTATATTTTTATATAGAAATATATTTTTCTATTAAGAAATATATATATTTCTATTTATCTAGTAATGTAAACTAATCTTTCCCATTCTAATTCGGTCTCAGCTTAAAACAGAAAATAACCATTGGTAACAAATTGCAGACACTTTTACAGCAGCAATAGTGAACTGCAAGTCTCAATTCTGGCATTCTAAAATCCATGTAACTCCAGTTTTATATTTGTAGTTTTTCTGAGGTGCTAAAAGTCCTTTTGGTATCTCCCCTCACAGAGAGAATTAGGTTTGATAGAATATAATACCCATATATGTAATTCCATGATCTCTCCAGTTTTCTACATTTTTTTCTTTGCCTGATTCTGAATGTTCTACAGATACCAATTTTAAGATATTTTACCCTAATAGAAAACAAAAGAGAAATCTACTTACAGCCGATCAACATGACACAGATTGAAAAGATTTTCTCCGAATTGGTGTTAGGAGACACGTTCCCAAATCCTACACTGGTTAAACTGCTGAAGGTAAAATAAAGTGCTGTGACGTATTTGTCTTTAATGGATGGTCCAGAACTTGAGTCACTGTCATTGTAACGTTTCCCAATTTGTTGTCCCAACGAATCCAACCATCCAATTTTGTCAGTCAGGTAGGGCCTTTCTACATTTCCAATTGCATACCAAATGCAAGCCAGCCAGTGAGCTATCAGGGCAAATATGCACATTAAGAGCATTAGAACAGCAGCTCCATATTCTGAATATCGATCAAGTTTCCTGGCCACTCGCACAAGACGAAGGAGTCGAGCTGTCTTCAGAAGACCGATTAATGTTGTTGTCTGTGGAAATAAATGTGTATGGTCAGAAACAGTTGGCAAACAATTCCGTGTGTGTTCCTGTGAAGCAAAGTAGGAGGAAACAGGTTAAAACAATATGGTAGCAATGAGGATAAATGCAGATTTGGATTAAGTATTAAGGTTAGTTTTTTTTTTTTAATTTTACATCTGCCTTGGAAAATACTTTGAAAGTGTGTGGTACATTAATTCACTATCTTGACATGCAAGACCCATGGGACAGACTCCATCTGTCTAGCTTTATGTTCTAACCAAGTGCCTTGAAGATAATGAATACTCAGTAAATCATTCATTCACCAGTAAACATCCTTGTGTGTTACTGGTGTGCCTACCAAATGCCACCACTGGGATTATAGTGTTGAGCAAGCAGACATCACTTTTATAACAGAAAGAAACATTTTCTTACTAGATAAAACGCCTTCTTTAATGAAGAGAAACAAGATCCACTGTCTTTAAGGGATTGATAGATTTTTTTTTTTAAAGAAACAGACAATAAACTCATTTCAGAGACTGAAAAATGTGGTAATGATAATAAAACAGAGCGGTGTGATAGAGGATGTTTAGGGCATAGTCAGGATGGCAGTGACTCTAGAAAAAAAGGCCAAATATGATAAAGATGATCTTGCTGAGGAGCTGACATTAGAGTTGAGACGTACCCACATAATGAGAAGAGCCCGGCAAACAGATAATTGGGAGACTTACTGGATGATTGTATGCATGCTTTACACGCTATATTTAAATTCATTTTTCCTTTCTCAATGTGCTAAACTGATGAATTGTTTCTTGATGTCCCAATGATATTATGCACTTTTCATTGGGTTGTGATGTGTAACTAATTGTATGATTATTACTGACCAGGTATCTAATGATAGGACACTTCTATATAATAACAGGATATTTAACTGGTTGTTTGAATTTGAAATCTGGTAAGTACAAATTACAAGTTCATTTCTTAGGTTTCCTAAATAATGTCAGCTATAAGTACTATATAATTCACAGGGCATATAATTATTCCATAGTTACATGGTGTTTACCAATCAATTATTGAGTCATTTTATGTGTTCATTGTTGGTGTTTATTTTGCAGAGTACATCCAACTGTATTGAGAACACTTATATTTTAATTAAAGAAATAGCACATGTCAGAGCTATCACCCTCTATCTGTTCATATTGACTTGGTGGTAAAAAAAAACCACTAAATATTAAGAAATATAGTTTCATTAGTATTCTATAATAAGTCTTGCAGTTCCTTTTTTGTGTGTGTGCTAGAGTGGTCACTAAAAGAAGGGGAGATCCTTCGGTCTCTGAATTCTTTTCAGTTTGTACTGGAATCTTCTAGAGGTTAGAGGAGATTATGTAGTTGGGATGTGCTTATCACATTTGAGATCTGGTCTTTACTCATTATAAAATGTGAGGAGGGGAGAGTCTTCCTTGTTTCCAATGTTGTTATTAATTTTGAAGGTGGAATAAGGAAAGCAGTATTTTTTTTATTCACAAATATAAAGAGTGTATCTTTTCACAATGAATAAATGGAGAGTTTATGTTAGGTAGTTCTCTGGAAGAAGGTCAACATTCCACTATTTGAATTATCAACATTTTAACTAATTAGCTTTTTTTTTCAAAGTTAGTTGTTTTTTGTTGTTGTTGTTTCAAATTATTTTATTTGCATTTTAGTTAGTTAACATAGAGTGTAGGTTTCAGGAGCAGAATTTAGTGATTCATTACTTACATATAACACCCAGTGCTCATCACAAGTACCCTCCTTAATCCTCATCACCCACTTAGTGCATCCCTTCACCCACCACCCCTCCAGCACCCCTCAGTTTGTTCTCCATAGTTAATAGTCTCCTATGGTTTCCTCTCTCTTTTTTTTACTTCCTCTCTCTATGTTCACCTGTTTTGCTTCTTAAATTGCACATATGATTGAAATCATATGGTATTTATCTTTCTTTGACTGACTTCTTCTTAGCATAATACACTCTAGCTTCACCCACACTGTTGCAAAGGGCAAGATTTCACTCTTAATGATGGCTGAGTAATATATATGTTATATATATGTAACACTTCATCTTTATCCATTCGTCAGTTGATAGGCATTTGGGCTCTTTCCATAAGTTGGCTATTGTTGATAATGTTATAGCCATCAGAGTGCATGTGCCCTTTCAAATCAATATTTTTGTATCCTTTGGGTTGGTACCTAGTAATGCAGTTGTTGGGGTGTAGGGTAGCTCTATTTTTAACTTTTTGAAGAATCTCCATATTGTCTTCCAGAGTGGCTATACCAGTTTTCATTCCCACCAACCATGTAAGGGGTTCCCCTTTCTGTGCATCCTTGACAACATCTGTTGTTTCCTGTGTTGTTAATTTTAGCCATTCTGACAGGTGTGAGATGGTATCTCATCGTAATTTTGATTTGTATTTCCCTGATGATGAGTGGTGATGCAGAGCATCTTTTCATACGTCTGTTTTAGCTGATCAGTTCTATGTTAGGGCTTTGGACAAACAAATGAATGTATGGATTCTGTATCCATATTAGTCTGTCATCTTGGACAAATTGCTTATTTAATCTCTAAACTTCACATTTTTCATCTGGAAATGGGCATAATAATGCCTCCTCACAAGGTTGTAGATAAGCCATAAATAGTAGCTTTTTGCATTAAATATCCCATATGCTTTAGTTTCCGTCAGTAAGCAGAAACATTATACGGTGAAATAGATCCATAGAACTTACACGTTTTCCAAATGCATTACTTTGATATCTAGAATTCTAATTGGAGGCATTCCAACACCGGCCTTTTGGCCTCCTCAGGGAATGGCAGGAATTTTAAAGACAAGAGCATCGTCTAGAGGCATTGACTGCTTGGAGTTCAGTACAGGAATCACCTGGGTTCAATGTGTCTCTTTCTACACTTCACAGCTTCAGTCTGTGTGTTTATTTCCCCCCCCCCCCAGCTCTGTTACCTATTTACTTATACTGAAAAATCAGAACTATTTGAAGAGTATTGCTCAAAACTTATCTTTGAAAGAAGATTTCTCTCTGAACCTCAAAATAAATGAAATATAATGAAAATTCCCTAGGGTATCTGGTTAATGAAGTGAAGTGCTTCAAAACAAATGAGATGTTTTAATAACATATTGTGATAATAAGCACTAACGACTCTTCTGGCTGCCAAGACAGTAAAGCAAAAATGATGTTATAAAAAAAAAAGGAATCAATCTGCTGTGTAGGCCACCTCCTTTCTTCTTCCTTCCTTTCAAAAAAAAAAATCTGATGTTTCTTCTAGGATTATATCAAAATGAGGTAAAACCTAGGTGACAGTTCTCTAAGCAGATAAATGAATATAATTTATTTAGTGACACATAAATAACATCTTTCCTGGACAAAAAAAGCTTAAGAAATATGGCACATGATGAAGTCTCAACCCAATTGACATTACTCATATAAAATAATTGCAGATGTAGCGCGAGAGGGAGAGAGAGGAAGAGGAGAGGGAGAGAACGACAGAGGGAGGGAAGGAGAGAAAGAGAAAAAGGACAAGAATTATTCAACAGTTGTTTTACCTTTCAGTTGCTTCATAAGATGCGTGAAAATTGGCTTCAGCAGTCAAAGCCATTCTCTTGTGATTCCATAAACATGTACCCAAGCATAATTACATATCTTGTTTGACAATGAAACAAATGACTGGATCTTATTTTTGTTGTTATCAAGATGCTGAGAACACACCTGGGCATTCTTCCTTAGCTACTGTTGCATACAGCATATCTTGTAGATGACACTTAAGATCGCAGTAACTCTTTTCTTCTTCCTTAAATATCTCTTTAAAGATTTAAAGTGTTTTGCCCATATTACACAAGGAAAAATACGATTGCACTACAATCTCAGAGAGAGTAGCCTAAGGAATGATCAATCTCCTCTTGATTTGTTGGAGATGGTTAGTCCTCATTGTTTAGTTCAATGTACCCTTTCTGTATTATGTGTGAATGAAAAATGGGACCAACAACTACCTTAGAGTTGTGTTAACATCAGAACTTGGCTAAGTAGAATGTTTTCAGCATGTATGTTTCTCTCACCTTTTATCTAATTTCATGTAGTACTCACATATAGTATGTAAATCTATTTTTGTGGGGGGTTTTCCCCCAATTTTTGAAAATAAAAATAAAAGTATCTTTAAGCTTATTGCAACAATTTAAAAAATAGTAGAGGTATAAAACTTTCCCTTAGATGTTATTTAACTTTTTATTCGCATTAGAAAAATATTGTAATGTCTATTGTTACTTTTGGTAGACTGAGAAAACATAAGAGCTCACAAGAAATATGTGTGATTATGAACTACAAACACAACATGATAATAAATAAGATGGAGAAAGAGGTGAGCTACTTTACAGTAGATTGAAACAAGGTACTTTGTTTTTTGTTTTTGCTCATTAACTGTAGCAAAAAAGACAAAATGAATAAGCCATGGTTTCACCTCATCAGTACTTATGCCATTTCAGACCTGAGCTCCTTTACCTGTGATTGAATGATAGTGTAAACTCTTTTTGTCTGAATGCCACAGTAAAGAAAATATACTTATTTAGGACTTTTATTTTTAATGTATTTTGTCAGAACTTTTTAAGTGTAAAATGACTCTTCCCTGGCAATTCAAATTATTGAAATTTCTGGGGGGCTGAACCATATAATCCAATTTCAATTTTTTTAAATATACCCATATCTATAGTTTGTTAAAGTCCTAGATACTTTGGGGTGCCTGGATGTCTCAGTTGGTTAGGTGTCTGCCTTTGGCTCAGGTCGTGATCTTGGAGTCCTGGGATTGAGCCCCATGTCAGGCTCCCTGTTCTCTGCTCCCCCTCCCACTGCATCTCCCCTGGTTTCTCACTCTCTCATAAATAAATAAATAAATAAATAAATAAATAAATAAATAAATAAAATCTTAAAAAAAAATAAAGCCCTGGATAGTTTCTTATACTGAAGTAGAAGTTAGTTT